GAGTGGCACTATTACTTCTCTTGATCTAGACACTATATTTCTACTGAAACAAGTGATGAAAATGTCCTACAAGCATAGAAACCATGACAAAGTATTTGTTTAGCCCCCTTTGCCCCGGAGAGAAAGGTGAACAATTACATGGGATTAAATGGATCACAACTTTACTCAAGGAATGTGTATTTATCCAAATACCAGTGCAGAGAAGATAATTATAAACATTTCCTATGAGATGTTCTGAGAGACTCAAAATGGATGACCAGCTGTAGTGAACTTCCAATCTCATGTCTGAGTTACCAAGATCAGCTCTAACATTAGGCAAAGTGAACCATCAACTTCAGTTAGCAGGTGGATAGCTCTGGCAACATTTTGAAGGGCAGAGCACAACATGTGATAGATGATCTACCTATACCTCCAATTTCAGGTTCTGTGGCCACTGAAGGAGAAGCTACATCTCAAAAAGAAAGAAAGAAAGAAAAGATCATAAAACCAAACCAAGATACTTGACATACAGCATAAATGCCCCTGCCCCAGCAGTAAAACTCCATCTTGCCTTGCTTGGACATTTCAGCTGACTGGCTGCTTGAGTAGAAAATTGACTTTTGTATGTCCTGCTCCCAGCTCTTATTCGTAGGCGCATAAGATGCTGAGCAAAGATAATCCAACATAACTGACCTGTTAAAAGTCAAAATGTTGTACCTCTTTAGAACCAACATGGTGTAGTTGTTTGATTTTGGGGCTAAGATTCTGAGAGAATTCAAATCCTCACTCAGTCATAGAAACCCAGTGGACAACCTTGGCCAAATCACATTCTTTCATCCTCAGAGAAAGGCAAAGGCAAACCCCTTCTGAACAAATCATACTAAGGAAACCCTGTAATAGGTTCACCTTAGGGCAGGGGTAGGCAACCTTTCCCCTTTCAGGGCTGAGGGACTTCAGCTTCCAGAAGCCTCAGCCATGTGGGCCAATAGTCCCATGTTGGCCAATAGCTCCTGGGATTCTGGGAGCTGAAGTCCCTCAGCCCTTAAAGGGGAAAGGTTGCCTACCCCTGCCTTAGGGTATGTTGGAAATGACTTGAAGGCACACAAGCACTGTAACAGCAACAACAGCAACGAATACTTATTTACTGCCTCTACCTGTCAGTATTGGTGTAGCAGTTAGGGATCTTTTTATTATTGGTCCATGTTATGTTGTATAGCAGTGAAAGATGTATAGTTTTGCTACAGTGTGTAAAACACTTGTTCCTCTGCAGACTAGAACTTGTGCTTGTGAAGAAGGGTACACAGAAGTGATGTCCTCTGATGGCACACTTGAGCAATGCACTCTCATCCCGGTGGTAGCCATTCCCACAGTGGAAGACAAAAAGGGAGATGTAAAAACCAGTCGAGCTGTGAACCCCACACAGCCATCCAGTACGCAAACAGGACGAGGAAGAACTTGGTTCCTGCAGCCTTTTGGACCAGGTGAAGTTTAACATGAATAGTTAGTGCCTCTAAGTATTGTCATTGAAGTACTTTTCATTTTATGAAAACATGCCTCCTAGTTTTCTAGGAGGTAAAGAGGGAGGTAATGCATGGAGAGGAAGTATTCACTTTACTAACAGAATGTTTAAAGGGTGGTATGGTTTTGAGTACTTTTAATGTCCTTTCCCTTACTTAAATATGTTTAACATTTAAGGATATTTTTGACTCAAAAAATAAATAGATGTATAATTAAGCTTTCTTTTAAGGCACAGAATGAATATATCCAGAGGGAATGTCAAAGACTGAGATTCATTAAGCCCCCTGACATAGATTTAAGCCCCCCACCATGTACTTATCCTATTGCTTGCAGACCAAGGCTGCATCTGCTTATCTGCCTTCTCCCCAAGTGTGCAGCATATCTTTCAAAGATATTCAAGGGCAGCTGGATCATCCTGGAGCACCTCCACAAGCATTCAGAGGACAGGGGATGGAATTGTGCCTAGAAATTCCCCAGCTGCAATTGCACACTTGGGGCAAGAGATATTGCAGAAGAGAGTGCTGTATACTGCCTCTCAATGCCCCAGAAGTACATACATTGATGGAACTGAGGTTATGACAGTGTATGTAACCAAGAGGATTCTAATGAAAATGTAAGCTTTGTGTCTTATGTTGTACTAATGTTTTCTGTTAAGACTGATTATAGTGGGTCTTAATTTCTGAGTTAGCAATCACAGAATTGCATTGTAAATTGCCTCTATGACTGTCAACAAATAATACAGTCACTGTTACAGGAAGTAATTATACATTTTGATAATTCGTATGAATAGAAATCTAGCTTTGTTAAATACAAAACGATGAAAATGTTAAATAATAATCATCTTGGGTGTTAGGCATATATATAGTTAACAGATTTGTCCTGAATCACTCACATCGTAGCTTGACACTTGAGTTCATACAATGACTAGAGCAGGTTTTGTTCTTTACTCTCTGGTTGATTTTGTATTGTATATTGCAAGCAAAAATGTTGTCCCATTTATCAACTAAGTGATTTCATGCAGCCTCTAAATTGCATTCATGGACAATGTCACTAACAGGACTTGTACAAGCTTTTTAATATGTTCTATCAGTTGATTTACTACATCATATATTGCATTCTAATCCATTCAGTACTAACTTGTAGGCTAATGACTAACCTTAATTTGTTTTAGATGGAACACTGAAGACCTGGGTTTATGGTGTGGCTGCGGGTGCATTTGTTTTGCTCATCTTTATAATTTCTATGATATATCTAGCCTGGTGAGTTCTTTAGTCATTTATTATCTTTAAACTATTAATGTAAAACTCACGAATGTGAAATTCAGCAACAGAGACAGACAGATAGCTGAGGTCCTGCTTAACATCAATGAAATATGTAAAGTCCCATTGGCATAGTTATCTGAAAACCAAAATTATGAAGACAGCAGCAATGTTTCAGTGACTGTTTTGGTTAGGAGGGAATGTGAGGAACTATGCCAATGTGCCAACTGGCCTTTAAAGCTTTCTCTTTCTATAGCTGAACAAATGGGCACCATTTGCAAAAGGGGATATTAGATACCTCCTTATGCAAACATATAAAAAATAGGGTTTTTTGGTGGGTTTTTTCGGGCTGTGTAGCCATGTTCTAGAAGAGTTTCTTTCTGACGTTCTTCTAGAACATGGCCACACAGCCCGAAAAAACCCACAAAAAACCTATGGATGCCGGCCATGAAAGCCTACGACTTCATATAAAAAATACATTACTAGCATAACAAGGAATTACATGTAATGCCCCAAGGAAATCCTTGTTTCTCTCTCGCGCTCTTACTCTCTCTACATACGCACACATACGCCTAAATAGTTTATATTTTTGCCTAAAATTTATTTAACGTATCTATTTTCATGGGAGTACCACTACATTTGATAGTCCTGGTGAGAAATCTGTACTTAGGACAAGGGACTACTACTTGTTAGAACAGAATATGGAGAAACAGAATGGTTCCCAATTGGCAAAGGGGTCAAGGCAAGGCTGCATTTTATCACCCTGCTTATTCAACTTCTATGCAGAAAATATCATACAAAGAGCAGGTCTAGACTCAGAAGATGGAAGATTGAAGATAGGAGGAACATCAACAAACTAAGATATGCAGATAAAACCATACTACTAGCAGAAAATGTGATAGAAAGTACAAAGGCAGGCTTACTGTTGAACATAAAGAAAACAAAAATAATAACCACGGAGGATCTACATAAATTCAACCTAAATAATAAGGAAATCAAAATAGTTAAAGATTTCCTGTATCTTGGATAAAACATTAATCAGAATTGACACTGCATTCAAGAAATACGAAGACTAGGAATGGGAAGGGCAGCCATGAAAGAACTAGACAGTATCCTAAAGTACAAAGATATACAACTGAGCACTAAAGTTAGAATCATCCAGCCCATTACATTCCCCATCACCATGTATGGATGTGAGAGCTAGACAATGAAGAAAGCTGACAGGGAATCAATTTATTTGGGATGTGGTGCTGGAGAAGAGTGCTGAGAATACTGTGGACAACCCAAAAGACAAACAAATGGATCCTTGTACAGATTAACCCTGAAAGCCACAATGATGAAACTGAGGCTGTTGTACTTTGGTCACATCATGAGAAGGAAGGACCCACTGGAAAAGTCAATAATGCTAGGAAAAGTAGAGGGAAGTAGAATGAGAGGAAGACCCCATGCCAGGTGGATAGACTCAATCGGGGAGGTCAGCAGCCTGAACTGACAGAATCTAAGCAGAGCAGTGGAGGATAGCAGATCTTGGAGATGTCTCACCCATAGCATCACCATGAGTTGGGGCTGACCCAAGGGCAGTTAACAACAACAACAATAATAACCAATAGTTGTTGTCTTTGCTTCTGTCATTATATTTGATTTGCCACAATGCTCTAGGTCAGTGAGAAGAGTCCCCAAACTCAGTGGCATTCCCACACTGGGTGCTGGAGGTGGGACTACCAGGGGGCAGGACTTCAAGGAGTAGAACTTTGAAGTAGTGGGACTGCAGCTGAAGTCATGAGGTCCAAAACACCCTGCAGAAATAATCCAGTCCGAGACCACTTTAACTGCCCTGGCTCAATGCTAGGGAATCCTTGAAATTGTAGTTTATTGTGGCACCAGAGCGCTCTGGCTAAATATCTCAGCAACCTACAAATCCCAGGATCCCATTCAGCCCTGGCAGTTAAAAGCTGCACCAAACTAGATTATTTCTGCAGTGCAGATGCAGCCCTGACACCAGTGGCTGAAGATCACTGTTTTGAGGATTTTGGATGTTACTTTACTTTGCTATATGGCCAACAAGAGCCAGCATGGTGTAGTGGTTTGAAAGTTGGAATATGGCTCAGGAGACCAGGGTTTGATTCCCTGCTTGGGCAAGAAACCCTGGGTGACTTTGGGCAAGTCACACTCTCTCAGCCTCAGGGGATGTCACTGGCACCCCCTCTGAACAAATCTTACTAAGAAAATCCTGTAACAGATTTGTTGTATTGGGACACCATTGTGGTGTTCCAGTTTGAGTGTTGGACTAGTCCTCTGGGGAATCAGAGTTCAATTCCCCATGAAGCCATAGAAATCCACTAGGTAACCTTGGGCAAATCGTACTCTCTCAGCCTCAGAAGGCAATGGCAACCCCCTCTGAACAAATCTTGCCAAGAAAACCCGGTGATAAGGTTGCCATAAGTCAGAAAATATAAGTATATTTGCTAGTTATACCCCCCTCCCCCATCAGTTTCCCCCTCCTCCTCTTCCTCCTTTATGCCCCCGCCACCTGCTGCTTCTCCTCCTCTTCCTCTTCCTCTTCCTTCCTTCCTCCTCCTGCTCCTCCTCTCTGCCCCCGCCACCAGCCGCTTCCCCTCCTCTTCCTCTTCCTTCCTCTTCCCTGCTCTCCCTCCTCTATGTCCCCCTGTCTGCCGTTTCCCCTCCCCTTCCTTCCTTCCTTCCTTCCTTCCTTCCTTCCTTCCTTCCTTCCTTCCTTCCTTCCTTCCTTCCTTCCTTCCTTCCTTCCTTCCTTCCTTCCTCTTCCTCCTGCTTCCTTCTCTTACCTCCCTGCCACCACTGCTACTGCTCTTCCTCCCTCTGGGAAGGAGGACCGGGTGATTGACAGCTCCCTCTGACCAGTGGCTGATGAGAATATGGAAGAGGCAGAGTAGAGACAGCCCAGCCCATTCACATGCCCACAGAGATGGTTCAGCATGCCACCTGTGGCACCCATGCCATGCATTCACCGTCATGGCTCTAGATTGCTCAATACTTTAATTTCATTGTACTCCTGATTTGTTTTTATTAAGAAAGAAAACAGAGGAACAATGGAATTTTAGTACAGATAAAAATACTGAGCATCCTAGAACATTGTAACAAATACAACAAATAATCTAATTGTAATGATTCCCAGTGCCTAGTTCCTCCCCCCAAAATAAATATTTAAAAATAATTCATCAGTCAGTGATACAGGGCTGGCCACTTCAGAAGATATCCTAGTATTATGTGTACTTGGATCCAAGCATTGAAGCTAGTATTACATAGGTGTTAATGGCGATAGAGCGCAAAATGTATTCAAATATTTATTACATTCAGATCTATCCTTAGAGCTGTGATTTACAACTTTTTGTTCTTTCCATCAAATCTTTGCTCAAAACCACAAAAGGCTATTCTAAACTACTAGAAGTTCTACAGGTGAGTGTGAATGTTCTCTTGAATTAGTATGAGTCAGTATGTTAGGTGTTCTGAGGAACGGTAACTTGAATTACAAAAGCAGTACAGTGGGCCATTGATATCTGCAGGGGCTGAATTCCAAGACACACACACACACACACCTGTGGATACCAAAATTTAGGAATGCTTAAGTTCCATTAAATGCAATGGCATAGTAAAGTGATGTCCCTTATATAAAATGGCAAAATGGTTTGCTTTATGGAATATATATATATATATATCTGTGGATAAAGAATCTGTAGATATGGAGGGCCAACTGTAATACTATAGCCAAATAATTCATGCTTTCATGTAACTTATCTGGCCTGAAATGAAAATTAAAGCCTATTGTTAAATATCATTCCCATTGTTTTGATATCTGAGCTTTTAACTGTTGGTTTTACTCACTGCAGCAAAAAGCCAAAGAAGCCTCAAAGAAGACAGAACAACCGTCTGAAACCTTTAACACTGGCTTATGATGGAGATGCAGACATGTAAAATAATGACTTTCCATTGACTTTAGTCTCTTGAAACTGTAGTGTTGAAAAAGAGCATGTACGTTGTGTACATCACAGAGCAGATGTTATACCACAAGACAAAAAATAACTTCACAATGGCCATGGATATTCCAAGAAACATGCTTTGTTCTAGACCATCTATCAGTACAGCAAATTCTGGTGGCAAATTTCTGTTGTAAGCACAGCAGCTAGGAATGCTAATGTGGCCTTTTTTGTTTGTTTGTATGGAAAAGGATGAACTGTAAAGCCACTTGTGTCTCCAGCCAATTATATATGACCTATATTGACATCTGGGAGTCTTGATGCCAGAGCTCTTGGTAGCATTAAACTAGTATATTCAATAAGCATGAAGAGATCGTACCAAGATGTCTATAATGCTTGATATACAACTTATATACTCAGTTGCACCATATGTATTAATCTGTCAAATGATTTATTGGCTGAACAGCATTCTAGTGCTTGGCAACCTGTTAACTTTAACTGAGAATAAGACCCATTGATCAAGTTTGGCATTTTGGCAACGGAAGGTTGTTTTTCCCTGACCTGCCTTCCATAAGAGTGAAGACTTGCAAAAGACTCTGTCCTGTTACCCAGTTGCAGATACTAAAGCGCCATATACACACTTATTAAAGAAAGAAGCATTTTCAGGTTCACTATTTTATAGAAGTTATCTGGAGAATTAATATCTGTGTGTACTATGTTTTTACTTTCTCTAACTCTCAAACCGTTGCCTGCAACTTTTTTTTACATATAAGGCAATTTTTTGCACTATATTAGTGCAGCATGATATGCACTTATTAACTAGTATTGCCATAGAAACTGTCTCTTTTCAATAAGGATGATGATGAGGACGCTGCATCTTTTCAAACATCAAATAGACATTTTCCAGTAAGTTCTTGAGTCCTAAGGAGAGTAGAGATCAGTTTCTGGACTGTGACTGGATCAGACCAGCTAATAATACAAGTACTGTTTATACTATTTCTTGTAACAGCAACTGTTTTGTAGTTGAAACCATGGCAGTAAATGTGTCTACTTTTTTGATTCTGTCCAACTTATACAGATAATAGATTTTCACGTTGATTTCTAATTACTTTGAAGGTTGTTTATGACTAGATTTTTATATTGCTAACTTTGTAAAAAAAAAAAAGAGAAAAAAGTGTGGTTGCCCTCTAATCCTGAGGAAAATATTTGTCTAAACAATGTTTCCACTTATGTTCAGCAGAAATAATTCAAATTAATTCTTTATTTTTCTCTTGCTAATGGAAAGTGTTTGATTGCTGAAGAACTAATAGCTTCATCTCTTTCCACTTGGGATAACCTGGTGTATTCTTGACTTTTCCCCCCATCCAGACTCATCAGTTAATACAGCCTATATGAAGATACAAAAAATGATACACCATGTTCCAGCTACCTAATGTAAGCAGGGGAATTCTAATGCACTCTAGAGCTGATTCATCTAGAATGGCTGCCCTATTGATAATCCTGGGAGTAGAATTAATATTTTCAAGAATTTCTTTTGATGGGGCACCACTCCAATCCAGTACCATTCCATGAGTGTATCCAGAGCTCTGCCTGATGTCAACTTTTTAAAAATGCTCCTTGCAATATAACTACTTCAAGCTGCTTAATTTATTTTCGTAATCTCTTTTGTTCAAATTCTCGTCTGTTCAAATGGGTTTTCAGCGTATTACTTACTAAGATGAAGCCTATTTTGCTGCTAGTGCTCCACAACCTTTCCAAGATACAAGGTCACTCTTTCAAGATAGCATCTGTGTCTATCTTGATCTAGTTATAAGCATATGAATAAGCAATATAATCAACTTTAATTGGGCATTTGTTAAAACAACATTATTAGTTTGGTTTCTCAGGTGTCTGTACATAAGCTAAACTGTTCCTAACATGCCCAAGATGCCTGGGCAGTGATCATTAAAACCAATATTATCAGTTGTTTCAGACCAAGATAGTTGCCCAGATGGACCAAAAAAAGGATGTTTTTCACTACAATTCTAAGTGGTCCTAGGTATAAGTGACACTCCTCTTCAAAAGACCAGCTGGCTCACATCCTGCATATTTCTTTGTTTTGTTGTTAATTCCCACATTCCCACCCAGTAGGTTCCAATGGAGAGGAGATCAGTTATGCTAGCTCCATCATGGCATGAAAGAGGAAATCCTGGGCAACCCCTGCAGATGAAGGAGCTCTGGATCCAAAGTCATTTCTGTTTTCCTTCTATCCCAGAATTCTAAATTTTGAGTCCTGCTTCTAGTGGGAACACCACTAGTTGTACAGTTATGTCTTCAGAGTTTTCTCGGGGTTAACCTGCCACCTCTAGAACATGCCCAATACTAGTGGAGGGATGCCGTGTTCCCATCCAACCTCAACCAGCCTGTGCAGATGTGGAAGTAAGAAATGCTCTGCCTGTTCTTCACCCTAAAGTCATATTCATTATCTTGACTAACTTGTAGAGAATTCTACCATAGACTCTCACCATACACTTTATCATCTTCACCTACACAATGTCAACAGTAGTCCAATCTCAAACTGCTTTTGTTAAAAATAAGGATTTATCATAATTTATGATGTGAAATTAAAATGATCTGTACCCAAACAGGAGAAAAAATAGAGATGGGAAATAATTTTGCAGGATTCAATAAGAACCAACCATCCAAGACATGTGCCGAGATGAAATGCACCTTGTCTCAAAAGATCCACACATTTGCATGTCTTGTGGGGGAATTTTGTACAAATGAATGACTAAAAATGCAGAATACTAGACATATAGACACAAACATGCCTCAGTCAGTGAAGAAAATGCATAAACAAATATGTGCATATTGGTAAAATAAACTGCATACAAATTTCAAACAAAATACTGCAGTCTAATAAGTGCAAGGCAGGGTGGAAATTCAGATGTGATTCAGAGATATGCAGTGAAACAGAGTGAAAGTTTTTCACATCCCTAAATCTAAACTTATTGGGGCAGTAGGAAGTTTACAATTGCAAACTAGAGATCAGAAGGTAGAACTGAAGCAGTAATTTTTAAAAATATCTGTATAAAAATAAGTTACATTTGAAATGTGTTTCTACAAATCCAGTGCCTAAAGCAGCTAGTACAGTGGATAGTTTGTGAAAATAATGTTTTCAGTGATCAGCTATCTTTAATCCATTA